CAGAAACAGAATTATACACTTCTGTGTATAAAGCGAGAGAGGCGAGCGAGAATGGAGAGTGGCGAGCGAGATTTTTGGGAGAGAGACGCTGACAAATTTTAGCTAATGTTTGCTATGGAGCACAATTAAATCAAACCCTAGCTATTCCATTTAATTTAGGTAATTATTTTGCTATTATATACAATTTTCTCTTTTTATTAATACAATATTTTATAAAATATTTTTTTTAAATATATATTTTATAGTTAAAAGTTATATATAATTTTATATATTTCTTTTTACAAAAATTGAAGTTAATCTGAACATTTCAAAGCATATAAAAAATATTTTTGATTTTTCATTTAGTGTAAAAAAATACAAACCACAAGGCAGTTAAAAAGCTTACTTAATTATGAAAAATGAAGTTTTTCAGATACTTATAATTTCGACTAATTTTAAAATTAAAAATGAGAAAATGGCCAACCCTCATCCCCGTTTAATTTATATTTGAATTCGCAAACTCTCCTATTATCTCTAATGAAATTAATGTCACCTTATATGCTGAGGTTTTCAAAAAAATGAAAGACAATTTTTTTTTGAAACTTAAAACTTTGAAAATAATTTTCCCTTTTAATATTAAGTTTCTAATTTATTGTTTTAAAAATATGTTATATCTTTTACTTCTATTTCTCTTTTTCTTTTTAATTTTTTTGGTCTTCTTTTTTTTCTCTTCAATCATTTTTTGAATTTAGGTCACCAAAAAATGTCATAAACTTCGTTTGTATATTTCAATTGTCAATACATAAATAAAGTAATTTACTATAAATTTTTCGTAAACCATATAGTTTCAAATTTATACAATTAAAAGCTAAATTATATAAATATTAAATTATACAAATCTAGTAAATTATATCATTCGCAAAATTGGGCGAAATTATAGTTATGAATTAAAATTTTCCTTAATAGTAACTATAATATTTAATATGATATTAATGTTGTATTTTGTTGCTATCCATTTCCACGACGGCCCAAATAATACACTTCTCATCAGTTTGCAACTTCGGAGAAGAATCAGTACGCCATGGAAATGGGCCGGCGAATATTGAACGATGCATTGCGTACAATTGTGAATGCTGAAAAGAGAGGCTTTGCTTCAACTCAGCTCCAACCTGTCTCCAATGTCATTGCTAATTTTCTGCAAATTATGAAATATCGAGGTTAGTACTAACTATGAACCACATCTCCTATTACAGTTGCAATAAGAGAAAATTTTACAAATTTATGTTGTATGAGCTTCTAATGGTGGAGTAATTTCATTGTACAATGATTAAGAAGAGCACTTTGCTTTTAAAGCACTCTAATTTTCTGGATGAATTCGGTCTTTCTTCTAATTTGTTTTTCTTTTTTTACCTATTTTAGAATTACATGCTATTAATATCAGTCTGTACAATTAGAACTTGGAAGTATTTGTAAATGTTTGAGAAAAAAAATTCTAAGCAAAGAGCAACAATTTTCTGTTGTTTCCATAAGTAAAACTTTCCAACTTTGAGAGTGCACGTCCAGCCATCTCAACTCGTCTCCACTGTGTTAGTCATCCAATGCCTCAATTTATATTTTTTGAGCTTTCCTTGATGGTGTAATTCGTTGCAGAATGATTTCTCATGACTGATGGAGTCAATTTTATTTTTGTTATTCCTTATGCCCCCACTCTTAAAAGAACCGGGATCTGAATCAGAGGTTAAAGTATGTGATGTTTAGAATGAATGGAATATCAATTTATGAATCATTATAATTGAGTTTACATATCGAAAATTTAAAATTATACATACTAAGCATTTCAGGAAAAACTTGTGATCATATACGAAGATATTTTTAAATTCTCCAAATAGTAACAGTGTTATGTAGAATGGGATAGGAGGGATAGTATTTAAAAGCTGACTGCTAGTTCTTCTGCTTTTTTTTTCAAATTAAAGGTCTCCTTTGATCATTGATGTGCAAGTAGTTACAATTTTGAGTTTGGCATTCCAAAATTTGTACATGGTCATTGAGAAGAGACTAGAGCTCTAGAGACTAACAAACTAGGGAAATTATAGAAACAATTCATGGTGGATCATACACAAAATGAGATGGGAGATTCCATTTGTCCATATTGATTAACCCTCGAATGTTGCTGAGGAGATTAGAGAAGAGGGGACGAACTTGATTCCCTCAAGCCTGTGGGCTGTGACTTAGCGAGGTTAATGCATCTTAGTCTCTCCAAAACAATGGACAGTGTTAAATTTATGGTCTTCAATTATCTTCTGAATCTCCCGCACTTGGTTGCTGATTTTCCAAGGAGGTTTCCACTCTCTTTTTACACTTTTGGTTAAAAGTAAGGAGTTTGTTTCTCCTATGACTATCTCCAAGCCTTTTCTAGCGCACCATTGAAGACCATACAATAACGTTTCCGCTTCCGCCGTGTTGCTCGTGCCATTGCCAAGGGGAATGGAGTAGGCAAAGATGAAGTCTCCCTCTTGGTCTCTTATAATTCCCTCACCTCTACTTTGGCCATTACAACAACTACCATCACTGTTTAGTTTTACTCTTAGCGGAGGGGGTATGATCCATGTTATCGGTATGCTAGTTATTTGTTTAATATTTGCTTCGCTAGCTTTGCATATGCTCCTCCAAATTCCCCCAATATTTATTTTTTTTATGATAAAGGAAACCCGCAGCCGCTACCCTTTTGGTGCGCACAGAGTAAAACCCCCGCTTCTATGCAATAGCTCACAGACCACGTAGCATCGGTAACCGCATTAGGCAAGCCCGGTGCGACGAGCTCAACTCAAGAGACAAATCCCTTGCTTTCACTGGCAAGGAGTTTCGAACTTGAGACCTCCAGTATGGAAGTCCCAAGCCCAAACCACTGGCCAAAGGGTAACCCCCAATATTTATTTTATTGAATTGTTTCTGGACGTGCAAAATGAAATTAACAATATTAGAGTTGGTTCTGCATCTAGAGGGTCTAGTTCCTTCAAACTTATAACATCTTGATTTCCAAAGTTCCCAGCAAATAATTGAGGAAGATTTTTAACAAAGAAGTCAGGATAAGATTGATGGATTTGTGATTCCACCAACTAAGAAGAATCATTTTGAGATTATTGTATGCCCAGCGGGCCCGCAAAGTGTCTATAGATACTCTTAGCAAAGTCACCTTGACAAAAGATGTGTTGCACATCTTCTAAATTAGTTCTTGCATGTGAAGTGGTGTAACATTAGCAATTGGGTTCAATGGCAATGTCCATCCATGCCACTCTATCATCAGTTGAGAGCTTATTGTTAATGACTCTCCACACTAGAAAAGCCATTTTAAAAGGAATTTCTTTCCTCCAAAGTTTGCCATAGAAGTTGTTGACTTCTTCTATTTGCCTCAAGTTATCCCAAGTAGATGCAGAGGAGAATTGCCCCGAGTTGGAAAGTTTCCAGATGACCCTGTCCTTATTTTCATACAACGTAATACCTGTTTAGTAGAGTTTGTCCTTGATCTCATTAGTAGGATGGGAGGTGAGGATATCCCAATTCCAAGTTCTTCTGTCGAGGACTTCTCTAAGATTTATGTCTGCAGAGGTCAAATCCAGTGGCATGAGCCTGTAGATAGGCCCCATGAACACCACGTATCATACCAAAGTGAGACATCTCCTTTGGCAATCTTCCACTCTATATGAGACTCCATCTCGTCTTTGATGTCGCAAATAGCTTTCCAATTCTAGGAATGTCCATTTCTCCATTAAGTATTTCGAAGGGTGAGAATTATGACAGCATACGGCTAACATAAAAGAGCTCCAAAGGGAGTTTAGAAGTTGTGATATTCCACCACTTTTAGCTCTAAAAGCTTTGCTAGTATCGGCGATGCTTCTAAAGCTATCTCCTCTTTTAATATAAGGATAACAGAGACTTTTTCATGGTGCACAGTGGTATTTTCCAGAATTTTCCTGCTTTGACCAGAATTTTCCAGAATTTGCTCATGGATTTTTTATAAGATCCAATGTACCTTTCGGGGGGGTTAACAGCCGCCAAGAGATGGATAGGAAGTGCCAGGAGCACATGTCTAATGAGGATTGCTCTACCTCCCATTTAAATTAGTTTAGTATGCCAACCCTGATTTTACCAATGATGTTCACAATGTCGGAATAATACTCTATTTTTTCTTCCATGTGGTTAGAGAACACCCTAAGTATCTAATGGGGAATTTTTGGTGTCTCATCCTTGTGATTTTGCTCATTCTGTTGATAACGACTTGCTTGGTGTTGGGGCTTATCGAGATGCAACTTTTATATTTGTTAATGAGCTGCCTAGTAACCTTTTCATAAATGGCTAGGGTGTTGAGGACCCATCTTATGCTTTTTATGCTTCCATTGCAGAGAAGAATAGTATTGTCTGCAAAGGAAAGATATTGACATTAGGACAACGAGTATTTATATAAAAAGAGGTGTACCCAGCAGAATTGTACAGATCATTCATCAATGTTAAAAGAAATTCTGCACTAAGGGAAAAAAAAGATGGTGAGAGTGGATCCTCTTGTCTTAAACTTCTCTCTGACGGAAAGAATCCATGTCTTTTCCCATTAACTAGAACAGAGTCACAATTGACCAATTGTGAGATATGTAATTATAGACCAGGTTGACCCACTGTTCTCCAAACCCTAGTTTTATGAGGGTCCTCTTCAAATATTCCTAAGACACTCTATCATATGCTTTTGTCATGTCGTGTTTCATCACCACATTGCCACCCCTTTTAGGTTTGTTGATATCACTGATGATTTCTTAAGCCAGCAAGATGTTTTTCAAGATAGATCTCACTTTTCTGAACCCACTTTGGTTCTTGGAGATGATCCTAGGAAGGATACTACAAAGTCTATTGTTAAGAATTTTGGAATTAATTTTAGAGAACACATTACAACGGATAATAGGTCTAAGATCTGAAAAGCTTTGGGGGTGATCAATCTTGGGAACCATAACAATGCAGGTGTGCGTATAGAACTTGGTGAACATGCTCCTTTAATTTTTTTATAATAGCATTATGAACATCGAATGAAATAATACTCCAACCTTACGGTAGAACATTCCACTCAATCCATCAGACCAAGCGAAATGTTGGGATCCATAGAGTTAACAATATCTGTCACTTCCTTCCGCTCTGGGATGGCATTAATTATAAGGTTATCTTCCTCCGTGATGCAACTATATACACAATCTAGGGCATTGAAATTAGTATTGGTAGAATCTTGAGCAAACAGGTTCTGATATAAGTTCACTGCTCCATTTCCTATAACATCAGTGTCTTCAGCCAGTTATTATTATCATTTTGGATTCTTCTAATATTCAACTTCCTTCTTTTATCTTTAATGGTAACATGGAAATAGGTTGTGTTAGCATCTCCTTCATTGAACCATGTAACTCTTGCCTTTTGTCTTAGAATGGAATCTTGAATTTAAGTTATCTAGTAAAAATAACTTTATGCTTGGAGAGTTCACATCTGTTCTCAAGAGAATTATCAGTAATACATTTCTCCTCCAAGTCGCTGATAAGGTTTTCCAACCTTTTAGGTTCTTCATAGATGTCCCCAAATGTCTCTCTTGACTATCCACTAAGAGTTTTAGTGGTGATCTTGATTTTCCGTTGAAGAATGTAAGAGGGTTGCCCTTGATGGTAATATTCCAATTGTTCTGAACAGTCTGAAGAAAATTAGGGTGGTCGGCCCAAAAGTTCTTCAAACTTGAAATACGTAATACCTTGAGAGTGATCTTGCATTAGATCTACAAGCAGAGGAGCATGATCCGAGTAGGTTCTAGAGAGGTGATAACAGATGTGTTAATAAGAATGTCAAACCAACTATCATTGTAGGCAACATATTGAATCTCTTCCATATGGTGTGGAGAGGGTCCCTATGATCGCCCCACGTAACTTTCAAACCTGTGAAACCAACATCCTGTAGCTCACAGTCATTTAAACAATCAATAAAATCCATGCTTTCCTCCAACCTGTGAGGTCTACCTCCAATTTTTTCCTCTTTGGTAGAAATAACGTTAGTATCGCAATGACTCCCCACGGATCATGGATATTGGCTGCCATAGTTATAAGATCATCCCACAATTCTCTCCTTAGAACCTCCGAGCATTTTGCATAAACAACAGAGAGATCAAAAGATGAGCAACTGTTATGATCCACTTTAATATGGACATGTTGTTCCTTATCTTGGAGAATGGTAATGTTAATGTCGTTGGTCCACATGAGCCAAATTTTGTTAAAACAATTGTAGAAAGCTTCGTTCATGCCCATTTTCCTTTTAAACTTGTCAAACTTACTATTGTATACATTTGGTTATTGGAGGCAAATAAGAGGATCATGATATTGGTTTTCTAGAGTTTGGAGTCTCTTGATAGATCCTTTTGACCATATACCTCTGATATTCCAAGAAATGATTTTAACCATTGGAAACAGTAGGATTGGGGTTGTTTTGCTCCCCCATAGAGGGTAGCTGAGTCGAATTACTGAGAATTGACTTCTTCTAACTTGGTCTTGATTTCTTGGGGATAGATTGTTGTATACTTGTATTGGGATATTTTACTGAGTTCGGAGCCAAAAGGGCAAGAAAATTTGTCAAAAGTTCCTAAAGGGCAACAAAATGTATTTTAGAACCAAAAAGACAACATTTTAATGCTCAAAATAACGCCGTCCAAATCAAGTTGAATTCATCAAGGCACGCTTTTCCATGTGCCTTACAAGGCGCAACCACCTTTCGTCTTGTAAGTGTGTGTGTAAGGCGCACGAAATTCGCGCCTTCCTTTAAATTAAAAAAAAATTTGCCCATTTTTAATTAAATTTAATCTTATGGGAGAAGGCGTTAGGGTCATGCACCTTACAAGGCTGACATGCACTATGCCTCTCTTATTTAATTTATTTGGGTTTTTTTTCAAATTTTATTTCATTCCAATTTTTTAAATAAGATTTTATCAATTCAAGTTTGATAAAGTATCATTTTATTAAGACAAATATTATATAAATTAATAACATAATTCTACAAGTAATAAGTTTATAACTTTAAATATAAATAAGAGTTTAGAATCATAGAATTTGATTCAAAATATTGATAATTTGGTATACCCTACTTTAAAATAAAAAGTTATGAAAAAAATAAAAACAAACTTCTTAAAAATTTTATTTGAAACTTATGCACACCTCCCACGTGAAAATTTGCAGTGTTGATTTGATTCAACACTGCATGAAAATTGGGACTGAAAATAATAAATAATAAGAGAATTTTATAATGTTTAGATAACATTTTATATATTAAATTTGGGATGTTATATAAACGTTATAAAATTCTCTTATTATAAAATCTTACTTCAAAAATCAGAATGAAATAAAATTTGAAAAAAAAACAAAGAAATTATGAGAGAGGCGCAGGGCATGGCAACCTTGTACGGTGCATGACCCTGGCACTTTCTCCCATAAGATTAAACTTAATAAAAAACGAGCAATATTTTGTTTAATTTAAAGGAAAGCGCGAATTCCGTGCGCCTTACACACACACTTACAAGACGAAAGGCGGCTGCGCCTTGTAAGGCGCATGGGAAAGCACACCTTTCTGAATTCAACTTGATTTAGACAGCGTTATTTTAAGCGTTAATATGATGCCTTTTGGTTCTAAAATCAATTTTGTTGCCCTTTAGGAACTTTGACAAATTTATTGCCCTTTTGGCTCCGAACTCCTATTTATGTTGCACTTGATTCACGTCGGCTTGCTTCCTACTGGTGCTTCCTCTTGTAAGTTCATCATCAGAAATAGACCATATCATCTCCATGGTATTTCTTAGTCATCTCTTGTGGTTCTTTGGGCTTGTCCCCTAGGGTCATGATCTGATTCTGAGGTCTATTTTTGTTGTGTTGTTCCTTTGATGGATCTGTTTCTAACACCTCTTTTCTTATATTATCATCATCCGTGTTGTTGATCCCCCTAGGTTGGTTGATAGGGATCCAGGCTACGTTCTTATCAACTTTATTATGCTGCCCTTCTCCTTCCAAAATCACTCCAGTAGGTATGGTGATTTTGCTTCCAAACCTTTGCTTTTTGCCAAGGAGATTTTTATGGGATTGCCCTCATTGGGTGTTGAGCATTCAACATTTTCTTGAGCATGTTGCACCACATTCTCTTTAGAGGTCTGGTTATCCTTTATGGAGTGTCTGATTCTGAGGTTGTCTTACAGTCTTCTTGCTTTGTCATTCTTTTGTCTTATTAGCTTGAGCTTTGTCCCATCTAGTATTCTCAGCTTCAGAAGATGTGGTCTACAACTTGTTTCGGTTTTGTCCTACTCCAGTCCTTCCTTTATGTACATATTCACCTCCATGTCTAAGTCAGTTAGTTGGTTGAAGTCGTTGATATTTTGTTTATCACATATGTTCACCCCTGTATTATCTTCTTTTTCCACATTCTCGCCTATGAACATTGATGATACATGTCTCTTGCCATTGATTTTGCCCTTATTGTTCTTTTTTTCCACATTCTGCCATGCTTCAGTTCTTATATTTTCTATATCCTCCATGTTTACAGCAATGTTCATCACCCTCTGGTCTTTCTCCTGTTGTGCAGGCCCCTGCCGGTTGCTCCTTGATGTTGTGCCTTCCTCCTGCATATCTTGCATTTCCCTTTGTTGGTTTGACTCCTTTCTGATTTCCAATTGGCTTTGGAGTTTCTCGGAGTTGGCTTAGCTGTTAATTTGGTTTTCTCCTTGAGTTTGCAAAATTGACAAAAGATGGCCAGCGTTTCATATTTAATCTTTTGGTTAAAGGTACCGACTTGTCCGTCAGAATACTTTATGACCACTTGAATATTGATGTGCAGAGGTTTCAAAAGATCGATTTCCACACTGAGTTTGGCCGTGGTTGGTCGAGTCTTGGAATGGGTAGCTGTCCAATATAATGAGGTTACCAATCGGTTCAACTATACGACACAAGGCGGCCCTTCTGTAATAATGCCACGGGAGGTCGGGAAGATTAATCCACACTGGAGCAAGTGTAGATGAAGCATTAGGGTTAAAATCAGTGGTCCATATTTGAATTGCCGTATTGTTATCTTCTCCCAGCTGGATGAAATTGAAAGAAACTATGGTGCTGTAGTCTTCTTCGTTTCCCACATCTATGAAGACATGTTTACTATCCTTTGCCCCAATTTTAACATGCCCTTTTGTCGGGACAATTTTGGCATAGTCAGCCCGGTTTTGGGGTCTGCTTCGTTTGAACTTCCCTATCAGCGTCCACCTGCATGTCTTCGCAAGCATATTGTGTTCTTCCTTAGTGAAAGTGATCACTGGTTTCCCCTTGAGGATCTCATGCTTCCTTGGTTGGAGTTCAATCTTGTTTTTCTCATATCCCTGAGCTCTACCTCCCAAAGCACCTTTATAGAGCATATTACCAGTAGTGGGAATTTGGTTCTGGTTAAAATGGGTCTTATTGATGTTGTTAAAGGTTTGGGAGTTTGTAGCAAGAGGGAGGAAGTTGGTAAAGTCTGGTGGATCTGGCGGTCTGTTTGCCGTCGAAGCAGAGCGATTAAAGTTGAAGTTCATCCCTGAGCTCCGTCGAAGTTATCCGTTATTGACCGTTGGAGAGAGAATTTTGTTTGTTGTTATTTAGGAACCCTTACTTTCCTAGTTCTTCTGTTTACTAAGTCTCTAGTTCTTCTGGTTATTAAGCCTCCAAATAATTTTTCTGTTTAGATTTTTTGACTACATGGGGGATAACTTGGTTTGTTTTGCATTAATCTGCTTGTGGATTCTTACTGGCACTCAACCTTGAAAGTCTGAAACTATATTTTGGTTGTCGTGTGTTGGACAATGAGGTACTTCTCATGCGTGATTAAAAAATATGCTTTCTATATGATGAAGTTATGAAGCTTTGCATGCTGCTTAAACTTTAACTGTTTTTTCAGGTTATATCAAAGACTTTGAAGTGCATGATCCTCATAGAGTTGGTAAGATAACTGTTCAATTGCTTGGAAGAATTAACGATTGTCGTGCTCTCACCTACAGACAAGACATCAAGGCTGCAAGCATGGAGAACTACAAGACACGTACATTACCAACTCGTCAGGTTTGTGTACTCCCTCTAATTCTTTTTTTTCTCATTCGACATGATTTTTATCAGATATAGAAACATGGAACGTTAACTGACGTCTTGTTTAATGAGTTCTTAGTTCTGAGATCTCTGTCTTTGTTATGATCTTGTTTAATGAATTCTTAGTTCTGAGATCTCTGTCTTTGTTATGATGTACTTCGTATTGACATTCTGTATCTTTTCTTGGTGTGAATTTGGATTATTCACCAATGCTAATATGATAACCTCTTGATCTTGTATCTTTTTTCTGACTGAATTTGTATTTGGACCCGATCACCCCTTTGTTCTAACTCTTTTCAAACGCGTTTTCTTTCTATAACTTGCACGTCTTCCCTAACCTCCGTGCTTCTGATCTTTTTCCCAGTTTAAATTTATTCTAGTGCTTTCAGGATTATATGTACCAATATGGACTGATTTGTGATACATTGGGAAAAATTATATGGGAATGATGGTTCTTTTTATAATCTATTTTGGCTTCTTTTTTTACATTTTGAGATTTCTGAAAATTAAAGTCTTAGACCTTTTTGTGGGTTTTCCACTTCGCTCTGCATATTATCCTGAAACAGATGCCTTAAAAATGGCTTTGGACCAAAGTACAAGCCAACAATATTCTTTTGGCAGTTCTTACAATTCCTTTGATTGTATATACATGTTAATATCCCTATGGACCTATATGTCGGTCTTTATTCTAGTGTCTGTTCTCCTAGTTTCCCTGTTTCCTAGTGTTATTAAAGTCTAGCACTCTGTTGCTTGACGCGATGAAGCAATGGAAAGCATGGGTTTTTTTTTTATATATATTGAATATATATGCTTTAATATCCAACTTAGGTCCACTATTCCTCCCTTTCCTATTTAAAACTTAGAGAACTCATTTCCATTATCTTTTTTTTATGCAGTGGGGCTATGTTGTTATTACAACCCCAAATGGAGTTCTGGATCACGAAGAAGCAATGAGACAAAATATGGGTGGTCAAGTTATTGGCTACTTTTATTGAACCAAGTTTCAGTCAAAGTTCAAGGTTCGAGACTATAAAGATACTCTTGCAAGTCCTTTGTTTTTTTACACCGTGACTAGCTCCTAGCATACTTCTTTTTCAAGGCCTTAGTTCTCTGTCCTCTATATGGCATATAAGGATAGAAAACTAGATCTCATGTTAGTTTTCCCTATATTAATCTGTTTGGCATTTTTTATTGTAGTTAGAGAACTTGTGTTTTATCTCAAATCTTCCACTATAGGTTGTTACTTTGGGTCAAAGATTTCTGTTCTCAACTTTCCAGAAATAATTTTTTTCTATTTTGATTCTCTAATATCGGCATAAATATCATACAGTTTCAGTATTGCCACATGTTGGATTCGATTTACATATGTTACTGCCATTAATTTTATAGCTATGGACACTTGCAACACAACCAGGGATATCAGGTCTTTCTATCCCCCAAATAACTTTGGCTCTCAGCAATACTAGTTTCTATTTTTCTCTTTCTTAATAACTGCTTTGGACTATGTTGTATCTCAGCAGATTAAGGGGTAAAAGGCTTTAGTCATCATGTTGATTACTGATGCTGTTGCTGCAACTACAACAGAAGACGGGCGTCTAAAGCTCTAAAATTTTGGTTTATGTATTTTATGATGACTTAGCTATGGAATTTGATATGCATAAGAGCGAACAGTGCCAAAAGTTGTAGGACAAACTGGTGCTTAACCAGATTTAAGAAATCACAAAAAGAGTATCTATTCAGGAAAAATGTGCTTGTTTTGAGAAGCAGAATTCAATTTCGTTGGCATTTAGGCAACTGTTGTCTGTCAGCCTGAGTATACAATAGTCAATACTCGAATTATAGTAGCAGCAGTAATGCATTCAAACTCCAACGCAGATCAATCTTGGCACAAAGCAAAGTCCAACTTTAGCTGATTGAGATAGTGTATCACATATTATGATATCAACCATTTAGAGCAACATGTCATAGCACATTGTGAAGTAGCGAGTTTTTTAGTCCCTTTACTAGTCATCACAACCTCACTCACCTAAATTGGTCATGCCCTAGCTGCCATGTGACAAGCTGACACAACTCTGGCTCGCAACAAGGTAGTGTGGCTGGCTCCTGATACTTCGATTCCAAACTAGCTCGTGAGGTGAATGGTCGCGAATAGTGGAACTGTGTCACAAAACATAAATGCTGTACTCCACTAAATATCGTTTATTTTACATATTTCTATACCACAATCCCCTACCATTTCAGCAACAATTCAATTAGGATTAGGATCATCCATTAAAAAGGAATGCAGCAATAAAAGGCGAAGGAAGTGACCGACCACTCATAAGACTATCCAATATACCACACTTCCACAAATTAAACAGATCCTTTCTAAATGATCATAAAGTCTTCAATCCGAAAAAGCACGGGGCAAGGCCCCTTACCAATAGCTTTTGGAAAAAAGAATTCAACTATAAAATCGAAAATCAAAACTTTGTTACTTAATGACAAGGGAACAACAATGTCATTGCAAACACAATGCAACTCTAAGCCTGCCTGTTCCTCTTCTTCACGCCAGACTTGGCAACCCTGAGGCTTCTGTTCACGGCACTCAACCTTGCAAGGGCTGCCTTCTTCAGATCTGGCCTGTAATAGTTGTCTGCAACCTGAAGACCAATAATTGAACCAAGAATGTCATGTCAGAAAGATCACTGCAAGGTTTCTATCGTAAGGTGTTGATTATTGAAAAATCACTAAAGTAAAAGCCTTATAACTCAGGCAATACAATACGCATAAAATAAAAGTATGCATAGGGAGACAGTGCAACGATATAAAACAGTGAGGAATCCTTGGAAGGAAAAATATGAGGCAGATGCAGATACAAATGAAACATTTGCAATTAGGACAAAAATAGTTCGAAGTTCTTCAGAATTTATTAATTCTTCTGGATTCTTGAGGGCTATTAGTTTTGGATTGGTTGACCTAATCATTATCAGTAATCACACTAACATTTTGCTTAGCTTACGATATAAAAGCAATAGTTTTCAACCTAATAACCAACCCTTATAGAATCAAATTTCAATCCATCTTTAGATTAGAAAAATACTTAAAATGAATTAGGCCCATACACATAAATAGAAATTGACCATCTTAGAAAGACAATTAACATTAGCTTGTAATATAAAAAGCTTAGAGATGTTACTGTGTAGTGTTATTGAGATATTCATTAATGTGGAAAAACATCAAGAGCACTATAACCATTGAGGGAGAAAACAAACAATAGCCAACTGATTACTAACAATTTCCTCACCCAGTATAACTCGCACACTAAGATCATAACGTGTTTAGGTCAGGTTACAAAGAAGCCAAGCAATTTCATTTTCCAAATTAGCAAACGAAGAAAACAGTATATTTGCTCCAGTCCAGTGGTAAAAAAGAAGTAGAATGCCTACCTGGTTTGTTACTGCCTTGGCCATGCGACGGAACTCCTTCTTCATTGCAGATTTGTTCAGCAAAGTTGAAGGCTTGTTCTGTTTCTTGGTCTTTGTTGTAGCAAGCAACACAGATTGATCTTTGCCTCCAACCTGGATAGTTACAGTTTTCTTGTTTGCTAGGCCTACAGTCATTACAAAAACAGCTCAATTACACGGTAACTTGAGGCTTGGCAAACCAACATTCTAAAAGTGTTTCCCTGAAAGATATTAGAGAATATAAAGCAACAAACATTTTAGTGACACCGCTAACCAACAACGGCTGTTGTGATAATGTTTTATTGATCAGTCACCAAATACTAAGAAATAACACTTGATTTTTCAAGTTAGAACTTTTGATTAGAACAATCTCATATATGGAATAACATAAAACACTTTGCAAGCTTCAAATAATACAATGAACAATTTGAAGTGGTATGATCGAACGAAAACAAAATCCAGATCTAAAAACACCATAAAAAAACTAACCAGAGTGCTTGTAAGAGTGAAGATTGCAAAGATTGTTAGGCTCTTTGCTAAACACAACGCCTGCGGAACCATTACCGAACTCCTTTACCAAAAATGCATTGTTCTTCTTCACAATTTCCCACACTAATTGCCCTGGAACTGTTGTCATTGTTCTATCAATTGCAAAAAAAATAACAAGTAAGCAGTATATCACAGCACAATATCACAAGGGTGCAGATAAAGAGAAAATTGGAACTCACCAGTTTCTAGGGTTTTGCCTTTTGACGGTCTGAAGAAGAAATGCAAAGAGACGAAGAAGATCAATGCGAAGGAAAATTTTGTTTATATATTGACACCTAAAACCCTAGTAGGACGAGAAGAATCTCAATTACCCAAATTACCCTCGAATAGAGTGGATGGTTAAGATTAAAAAATCTTAAGTATTTGTTTACAAGTTAAAATAATAAAAATAAGAGATAATTTAGAAATTTTAACTTTTAGTGATGTTGAGTGTTGATACATGGTATAAAGTATGAGTGTGTATTTGGTTTTATATTATTTGATTTGAATTTTTTAATTTTTAATTTTTGAAAAATTGTAATCTATTTCAAACAAAAATATATTTGGTTTTGATTTGTTTTTTAGCTATTTTTTGGGGTTTGGATTTTTTCGATTATGTCATTAATTAATAACATGATTATAGTTATAAATCATAAGTAATATTGAAATACAATTCTTATAAGCATATCAATTATAATGTTGAAACATAAAATATAAACTTAATCCTAATGGAAGACAATAACTAAAAATAAATAAAAGAACTCCAACTTAATTCTTCTATTTTTTTGTTTTATTTTTTTTACTCCGAAATCAAACAAAAACTAAACAAAGTAAATCATTAGTCCCAAATCAAACTAAAAAACTAAAAAGATCTAATTAAAAATAAAATTCTATTCAGTTTGGTTTGATTTATCGATTCAATACGAATTAGTGTTTTCAAAAACATTTTTGGGACAAGTCTCGAAGTGCAAATTGATTCACAACATTTAATTTTTTTATTGTATTCAAGTTGCAACACATCACCTTCAATAGAATTTTCTCCAGAATCAGAATATACAATATCAATATCGTAAATACTAACACACAAGGGATATACTCCAATTTGAGTATATACTCTTGTATGCCAATCTAAAGAATGCACATGGTTGATGAAAACCTCAAGTATTAACAAGTCGAAGATGCTCAGAATTAGAGTTCTTAACTCTGAACATACATGTACTTTAAAGTATGGGTTCATTCAGATTGTCGTGCAACAAGTGGATTAATTGCAGGAATAATCGCACCTAAATTGAGGAGTCACAAGAGGAAGTACACTCCAAATGATATTAGGGATGACATTAGATTGGACTTGGATAATGATATTGTTATCATATTTTTTTTAAAAAAATAGCTACACTTTGAAAATACTAACACACAAGGGATATACTCCAATTTAAGTATTCATCTTTCAACTAAACATATAGGCGCACACCCATGTCGTTACGTATTTTCATAGGCGTGTTGTACCTTTCTATAGTGTGTTTAATCTTCATACACTTTTTTGTAAGGTCGATGTTCAATTGAAGCATATTCCTTCAACATTGACGGGACTTTTAATTCATCTTCTTCCCCAACTTTTAAGCTCCCTCCATTTTCTTTCTTTATTTCTTCTACCTCTCATCCTCACTTGATTCCACACCCATATCAAGTTGAGCCCTTTCTTTCTCTTTTCTTCTTATTTAGTCAAATTTCTTACTTTCCAAAATTATGTTTTTTCTATATTTTGTTGAGTAATAGATAACAAAACTAATTTTTTTCTAAGAAAGATCAAAATTTTGAAGGTATCATCATTTAATTTATCTTATTTATATATAAATTCAAAACTAGAAATAATAATTTTGAAAGCATAAGAGTTCTCGAAAAATTGAAAAAGTTTAATTAGAATTTGGATAAAAAACTAAATAATGTCTACTAATTATCTTGAAATCTAATAGGTTTATCACATTATTCGAAATGTACTAAAATATCTAGATAGAATTTTAAAATTGAAGAGAGTTAAACTAATAGTAGAATAAAAGAAAGATAGAGTTGTGGTAAAAAGTGACTGTAACGACCTGTTTAGCCATTTTGAGCAGCAGATTTTATTTCTGAAAAAACAGGCTGAGATGAAGGAACCCACGACGGACCGTCGAGGGGGCCTCGTTTCAAAACACTTAGAAATTCTGAAAAATGGGTACTGAAATCGACTCTCTGAACTTCGTAACGGAATGACAGGACGGACCGTCACAGGCGTGACGGACCGTCATAGACTCTTCAGAGAATTGAGTCTCTGAACTCTGTGACGGAGCAGCAGGACGGACTGTCGCAGGCACGACGGCCCGTCACAGGCTGCGTAATCCCAGGCGG